TCTCCATCCAACATCTCCTTCTTCCCATTATCTTTGGAAAGACAATGATACCAGTACAAAGGCCAGGTGTTTTTTACGTTAGTCTTATTTTAATCTGTTGTCCGGTTTGCCTTAAAGTTACTCTAGAACAGCCTAAAATTCCTTTCCATCATGAAATGCTATCTAAATTGCAGCCTGACAGTGTTCCCTCCTCAACCCCTTGAAATGTCAGAGGAAAGTGACCTGTGGGATTTTTTGCTCCCTCTAGCCTTTAAGGGCTCCAGGGCCGGGAGGGGGGCAGAAGAGTTTCCCTGGTGTTGCCCAGAGTGGTCACCAGGGAAAGCTGGGGAGGGCTAGCCTCCCACTAGTTCGAATTAAGTGGCTACACAGCCCTTAATTCGAACTAGTTAATTCGAACTAGGCGTTAGTCCTCGTAGAATGAGGTTTACCTAGTTCGAATTAAGCGCACCGCTAGTTCAAATTAAGTTCGGACTAGCGGTTTGCATGTGTAGCGCCTATCAAAGTTAATTCGAACTAATGTCTGTTAGTTCGAATTAACTTTGTAGTGTAGACATACCCAAACATACTCACAGAGCAGTCCCCATGAAGCAAACTAGAAGTGTGATCGAGGTTAAACTACTGCACGGTGGGCACGCAACTGATAGAAAGATCACACTCAAAGAGTAGATGGAATGGTTTGCCATCCAAGTGGGAAAATGTATTTAGTAGGATCCTTCAAGGGGCTGCGCTGAATTCAGTACTTTTGAACATTTTCACTGATGACTGGGATAATGGACTGGGGAGAATGCTAATAAAATTTGCAGATGACACCAAGCTCAGAGGAGTTGCAAGCACTTACAGGATTAGAATTCAAAAGGAATTTGACAAATTGGAGATCTGGTATGAAATCAACAACATGAAATTCAATAAAGCCAAGGGCAAAGTACTCCACTTTGGAAACAAAAACCAAATGCTAATCTACAAAATGGGGAATAAATGGACAGGCAGCAGTGTCTCTGAAAAGAACTGGGGGGTTATGGTGGATTGGAAAAGTAAATATGAGCCAAAAATGTGATGCAGTTTCAAAAAAGGTTAATGTCGTTTGGGGGGGAGGGGAGCATTAATAGGAATGTCCTACGTAAGACATGGGAGGAAAAAGTCTTTTTCTCTATTTAGCACTGGTCTATCCAACCTGGATGCAGGGGCTGGGCTAGATGACCTCTCAAGGTCCTTCAGCCCTACATTTCTAAGGTTCTATGAGTTGAGAAGGACAGGGGAATACTTGCAGATAAAGTTGCCTGACAAGCAAAACTTGTAGCTTTATAAAGTAGCTGGCATCTTCTCTATTTGGGAAGTTTCCTTTAGTTTGCAACATGAGAACAGCAGCTAAACAAAAAGTTTACCAGGTTTCTTAGATTAAGGCTCTTGCTGTCAAACCTTAGAAGATCCCTCAAGATTTTGGCAAGAGAGGGAGAATTGAAAGCACAGACACAGGTAGAATGAGGAGCTGTGAAAGTCTATAAGCAGGGGAAGCACAGCAGAAGGGCAAGGGTGCTAATCAGAGCCAGCCCTAGATCCAAAGGCACCCCAGGCAAGGAGCATCTTTGGTGCCCATCCTCTCCATGTATTACACTTTTGAATACATAATTTTTTATTGCATTTGTTGCCCATTTCACAACTTTGATGCAAGATTTGCAGGTATGGTTTATCCCTGGCATAGCAGAGGATAGATTTGCATGCAAGGATCTGTAAATCTGTATTTATTCATGCCATATAGAAGCAAATATAAAATATCTAAACCTGTTACTGCCAATGTTCTATTTTCCCTTTTGTCACAAACAACAAAAACAGCACCCTGAGTCTGGCACCCTCTAAACACTGCACCCAGACAGTTGCCTGGCTCCCCTTCCCTCCACCTGTCCTGGTGCCAATACTAAATGGCTATTGAGTATATTAATTAATGGAATTTGTCCTGAAAAATCCTGTGCTTTCTTGACCTATGTGGTGAAAAACAGCACAGCTGTGTCTACATTGGCATCCCTTTCCGGAAAAGGGATGCTAATGAGACACTTCGGAATTGCAAATCCGCGGGGGATTTAAATATCCCCCGCGGCATTTGCATTTACATGGCTGCCGCTTTTTTCCTAGACGCGATTTTCCGGAAAATAAGCCCTTCTCCGGAAGATCCCTTATTCCTACTTGAAAGTAAGAATAAGGGATCTTCCGGAGAAGGGCTTATTTTCCGGAAAATCGCGTCTAGACTGGCGTTTTTCTCCGGCAAAAACCCCGAGCTGGAAAAAAGCGGCAGCCATGTAAATGCAAATGCCACGGGATATATTTAAATCCCCCACGGATTTGCAATTCCGAAGTGTCTCATTAGCATCCCTTTTCCGGAAAGGGATGCCAATGTAGACACAGCCCACAGGTAAAAGGAAGGAGGACCATATTTTTAATCCATTTAATTTTTTCTTCCAGTGATGTGATGATGAATTTTGCAGCAAAATGTGTTTTATGAATTTTCAAGACTCTGTGTTACTATTAGAGAAGGAGTCTGAAAAAAGAGTGAAACAGCAGAGGAGCCTGTCTGTCCACATTTCAAAAGAGGTCTGTTATTCAATTCTCTCTGTTTTTAAAGATGGGGCTGGGTGGAAACTGATTCCTGTGTGGTTATTAGGGATGCCAGCTCTGATTGAAGCTATCTGGAAGATATTTTCCACCCCCAACAAGATGTTCCATTTTCTTAACACATCTTATTAAAATCTCCAGGATTGCTTTCAATAGTCACTGGGAGATTGATGCCAATTCTGGGAGACTCCAGGCCAATCATGGAAGGTTGGAAACCTGAGTGGTCATGTTGGCTACCTCTTACCTATGCATCTGTTTTTATCTCATTTGCATTTTTTGTGTTCTATTATTTTGCCTTGAGAGTCACAGTAGTACAAATTGATAGGCACAAAAGGGCCTCTGCTCTTTGGCCTTAAACAACCTGGCTCCACGAATGTAAAATGAAAAGTCCTTCAGTTTGTGCTCACATGACTAAAGAGCCAAAGTAAGTCAATATCTAAACAATTTGGTTAGCTGTTCTGTGGCAACTGGAAAAATAGTGCCCTTGATAGGAAAACAACTACATTCTCCATAATTTAAAATTTATTTTAGAGTTTTATATTGTTGGCCATCTCCAAGTATCTGCAAGCCTTTCTTGTCTAACAGGTTGGCAATAGTTAGATCCCTAGTGTACTTTATGGTGTTTCATGGTCTTTTCAATTAGGAGGGACAGAAAATCTGATTGGGTGAGAGGCAATTTTTATTTGTTTTGAGTATTTTTTGTTTGTTTATTTATCCTTCTTGGATCTTCATTATTTGGGTTTTTTTGTTGTGGGGTGGGGTGGGGATGAAAAAGGGTAAAATTAGAGAAAAATCCAGTAATCTGAAGTTTATTTATATTACCTAAAGCAGGGGAAAATTTGTAAGGGAGACAATATCTTCTCACTAGAATATTTCATTGCATTTGCTATGGCACACAGGAATGATTATGTGTATGTCTTTGAATGAAAAAAAAGTGATCAGCTAAGGAAAGCATGTTTTATTTGTCCAGTGAAGTGTAAGGCCCAGTCCACTTTCACAATAATCTAAGCAGCTATAGAGTCAAACTCAGAAGAAGTTACACATTGGTCAACTGGTGAGACTCTAAATGGGTGCCAATTACACACTGAGGGGATGTAAAGAGGTGAAACCAATCAGCAACTCATAGGAGATGTAAGAAGCTGCAAGATAAAGCAGCCAACTTGCATACCCTTTTATTCCACTCTACTCTGCTTTTCCTTCTGTCCCTTAATGATGTATTTCTGTTCCCTTGCAACTTATTCATACTTATTCTGAATGTCCCCTGTAACCAGATGCAACTTCACCGATGGTGATGATGCTGTACCATTTTTATCAGGCTGAATTTGGCACATAATTGTTAAAATATTCATTAAAGCCCTGTCAAGTTAGCTACATGAACTAGCTAATTCTCATACAAGCATTAATAAAATAACAACAACAAATAATAATAGACAAAGATGGTTACAACTGAGTCAAATATATAGTCTGATGTACTGTATACAAAACAGAATGAATAACTAATAAAAAAGGAGCAGGATGACATGCATTTTGTAATCAGCCATCATAAATTGTAATTTGTATGTATTCCATTCCCTCCACTTCTATTGGATCATTAAATGTGGGTAGTATTGTAGTTAGCACTTCAGTAACAGGGAGGCAGGAGCTACCTTAGCAGAGGAGGATTCAAAGTTTGCACATGTACTATAACAACAAAAAAAATGCTTTCAATGGATTTGCTATGCCCTCAAGGGGAAAGACTCAGCAGAGAAAGATGAAAATGGAGAATTCCTAAGTGCAACACTAGATAATATACCTGAAGCCACGTGTGGAATCACAGTATAGGGCTTGTCTATGATAGAAAATTGTATTAACTAACAAAATGTAAAGCACTCAGGTCATGTCTGTGGTTAGGAAAAGAGTTTTCAAACCTTTTAGCTATTTCTTCACATAAACTCTGATTTTAAAGAGGACTTTGCTCTTGGTAAACAGGGCCAGTCCCATTTAAAAATGTGTTAGCTGGTCTGGGTCAACCCATGGCTCCCCATTAGAGTGACCCATTAGCAGCTGATGTAGCATTAAATGAGACAGTCCTTGTCTACATGGAGTGCTTTGTAATATTTATTATATGGTTAGGTACTGTGTTCGAACTCAGGATAATTTCCCAGCACATAGAGAAGAGCTCATAGAGTAGCAGCATGAATCTTCAGGAAAGCTTCAAATAGCTGTGAACATCCCCATCTCTACTCTAATTGCCACATTTCATAGTATCTTTATATGTTCAAGTAAATATACAGTAGACCAAGAACAAGGGAGAAGGTACCACAATAACCTTTTCCCCACCCAACAGTCACAGTATTGCTCCGACAGTTAAATCAGAATGAAGGAGAAAACGTAAAACTCTACTGAAGTGTACATACCTGCACTATCTCCAGCATTTCTGACTTACTGATGTATCCATTTCCATCCAGATCATACATGCTGAATGCCCATTTCAGCTTTTGCTCCAGTTTACCTCTAGATGTTACACTCAAGGCTATGATAAATTCTCTAAAGTCTATTGTTCCATCGCCGTTAGCATCGAAAGTGCGGAATACGTGTTCCGCAAATTTGGAAGCGTCCCCATAAGGAAAAAAGTTCCCATATATTTTCTTAAACTCCTCCATAGATAAATGTCCACTTGGACAGTCTCTCAAGAAGCCTTTGTACCACTCCTGGATCTCATGTTCTGTAAAGTCTGTACTTTCTAGCAAATCTTGCATGACCTCAGGACGTAGTTTGCTGTTCTGTTTTCCCATGTTGGTGTCAAAATTTTATCTGAAGAGGAAAAAAAAAACAAATTAATTTTGTTTTTAATTTAGTGGAGAGGGCAGAAGAACAATGATTCTGAATTTTCTGACACTAATTGACTTCAGTGCAGTTATTCTAAACTTTTGCCAGTGCAAGCTAGATAAAATGTGGGGCAATAAATGTATTTATCATCTTCCTTCCTTTGAAAAATGGCATTATTTTTGCTACCACTAAATACTATGCACTATGATTATATATCTATATTATATATACACACAGAGATTTCTAAGTCTTTTCATAGGAATTACAATAAAATAAAATTCAATTCTGATTTATCTTTTAATGCTAAATCACACTAGAAGAAAATTCTGCTGTTCAATAGGATGCCAGCCCTGCTGCTTGTAGCAGCTTATGAGATACCTTTCTTGATGAGTATGGATCTGCACAAGTCCCTTTTTTAGTTAACATTAAAATTACAGGAGTTGGAATCTGAATAGAAGCCAGGAGTGGATTCTTTTGCAATACACTACTTACTGTATTTTTGGTACTCCTTTGTAGCCAGCAATCAGAGCTATCCAATAATGGAATATTGATTTAATTAAGGTCTTTTCAAAATCTCTTTTGGAAAAAAGAAGGGACTTGCTAATCACGTCATTTACTACATTGGAAAGTCATTTCTCTTCCATTAACCATGAAGAAATATTCCTGAATACATTTCATATGTCCAGTTCTCAATTAAATCACCTTAGTTATGGTTTCTTAAAGTAAAACTATGTATTCTATTGTGCTATAGGTCTAATAAGGATTTATGGCCTGGTTTTTAAATACCATCTCAGAGCCTGATTATGTTGCCCCAAAAGACAGTATTATTAATTTTACTGGAACTTTTAAAAAACACATCTCCAAAGAAATCCTACCTCGTTTTCATGGTTAAAAGTGCTTCTCTGGTTAATTGCTGTGCAGTTATAGCCAGGTTCTCAGCTCTTACTAAATTTCAGTGCATGACTGAATTGTGGGAAGCCATTCTTTGCAAAGAAAAGTTAATACAAATGATCACATTTGTTATGCAAATGAATGCCATAAAATATGATTTATGAAAATGTAACTTAACCGGGTCATAGCTATTTGTGATTTAATCTGTAAAAGCCTTCAAAATCGTTATGCTACAGCCAATTCACAATTTCATAGTGTCAAACTTCTGAAAAATATCTGTAACGGCTAGTGAACTTCTAACAAAATATCCCTGCAGGTTTGAGATACAAATTTCTTCTTGGCTATTTATAGCAATAGTCAATGGGAAACGTGAAGTGCAGTGGAGTTTATATCTGGCCTCTCCCCCTTCATTTCTGGAAAGAGGAGGCAAAAATGTACAGACTGTCCTCATTGGTGCTGAGCATTTCATATGTGCTGCAGGGTACTCGCAACTTCCACTAAAGTCAGAGTGAGATTTTTTTCAGGTTTGGGCCTTAAAATCGAATGTTTATAGACCTGAACAACCCTCCCTCTCCTGCACATGCAGAAAATGAGAATCGAGAAGCACCTTTGGCACTCGGTGGGTGGAAGCCACAACTCCCTCTTTTTGGAAAAAGAAGGGTGCCTTAGACTCGATGGGCTCCTGGCCTTACATTTAACAGCTTCGTTACACTGGTAGCAGCTATTGTGCAGGACAGCAAAATGAGTCATTTTGACACTTCACTGGTTGACTCTTGTTTAGCTCACCTACCTGGGTGCACTAGGGAAGCACGGCCTCCCCCTGGAATCACTTTTCAGTTATCTTCTTGCCATGCATGGCAGTAAGCACGGGTGGGAATTCTATTACCCTACTCCAGGGGAAGGGTTGGAACTGGGCATTCACAGACCAGCTCCATAAGATCAATGCACAGCAGGTCATGGCACTCTGCCTGGGCTCTGCAGGTATGGAACCAGAGGGTCTGGCTTTGACTCTTGCTGTTAATACACCCCTATTTACCGTGCCCCAACTGCTGTCATTGCTTAGTGATATTCTACATATTTACGTCTTCTGTTCTCTCTTCATACTGTGTGTCAGGCCTCCAGTCCCTGATCCATGCTGTTAATCATGTACATGCATGTCTCTCTTCTACTCCTCCTAAAATCCCTTGCAGGACACAAGAAGGTGAATATTTACCAAAAACAGCCTGTTAATGCACATACTCCTGCAAAGCATGTTCTCCTGGTAGCATCAGCTATTCCTTTAGACTTTCATAGGGTTAGCTGCTAACCATGCTTTGGAATAATTAGGTGTCTTTCTTCAAATTAACAGCTACTTCACATAACACATTTTCTCCTCATTTGTGTATTTTGTTTCTCTCTGTATCCCCATCACTGAGGGCTGGAAGGTTGATGTTGCCATAGCCTGATAATTAATGCAAAGCCAACAGTAAATATGATAGTATGTGGGCACTGTGCTATATTATGTCATCTTGCAAATGATATAAGTATGTCACAAAAGGCACCAATTGCCAAGATAAGAGCCTGTGGTCAGTAATTACCGCAGTGCAGTCACAGAAAGCTGTGTAAATATTCAAAAGTTATCTCCACAACAGGTTACCCTCGGGCATTTTTCTTCCTCAGCCTGTCTTGAAGGTTTGAATGTTTGAATGTTTTTTCCTTTGTGTAGTCCACAACCTCATGGCCTTTTTCAGCGGCTCTCTCCTCTTTCAATCGTAGGTGAACTAAGGCTATGCCACTTATTCTGAAATTAGACACCCATGACTAGAACATTTCAACTGACGGGCTTGCGGGGCTTCAGCTCTGGGCCTCTAAAATTGCAGGGTAGACTTTGGGATAGGGCTGTAGGCTGAACTCTGGGGACTCCCAGAACCCTGCCAGCTGGAGTCACCTGACACAAACCAGCTGCAGGTGTTTCCTTGCAATGTAGACATACCTAAAGTGGACAAACTGCAAGTGAATACCATATGCGCACACAGCCTTGGGGGTCCCAATTATATTCTAGTTCAAGAGATTTAACTTCTTCAGTAAATCTATTAGAATAAATTTAATGACTCAGACTTTACACACACATTCCTTATAATTTAGAGCAACATTGGAATGGATAAAACTCCCTCTCTTCCAGCATCACAATTCAAGGTTCCATAATTTTTTGGAACCTTGAAATGTGTTTCCTTGCTACCATTTCTATTTGGCATTTATACTGTTTAACTACTGCAGCAGTCCTTATAAGTGCTGGGCAATAGGTTCATTCATTTATTCATTCATTCATTCAAGCAGCATTTCTGAAGCATTTGTTTGGAAGAAAAAGCCAACTTATTCAAAACTACCCAGGCTTTGCAAACAGTGAAGGCAGGGAGGAGAAAATACAGCAATAAGATTTGGGCCTAGCCACCCTGACTATATCCATTTAAACTGTCAAATGGCAAACCTTGTCAAATTCAAAGGAAGAACTCAATTTTTAAAAATCTCAGATTCATTTTAGGAATACATACAAGTCATTTCAGCAAACAAAACTGTAACAACAAAAGGAGTACTCTTTACAAAAAGAGTTTAATATGCAGAAATATGCTAGATAAAACAAAACTGTACAGTAATCAGGAAGTAAAAACAATGCATGAAGGAGGAGTAAAAGAAACAGATGAAAAGGAAGATGATTTGCATTTGGGAACATTATTAAACACTTATATTTTGTATTTATTATCATGAGGAACAGCCCTCATTATCAGACTATTTCTTTGCTACTAACTAATCTACTGTAATTTCCGTTTACAAAGCTAGTTTAGTGAATGATACCATTCAATCTTTCATGATAGACTTATAGTCTTTATCCAATGTCCTGAAATTGATTGTTACTGTGGAGTAACAATCAATATATACATTATATAAAGCCCGCAAAAGCTAAAGACAGAAATTCAAAACTTGTAGCAATGTCCTCCGAGAGGCTGTGCAGCTGCTGCTCTTTCTTGGGCTAACCAAGTTAGTATGTTAATAATGGAGAGACTCTTACAGATATCGAACATTATAAGAGTAGTCAGCCTCTAACCCCTTTAGATTTATGCTGCTGCAGTAGGACTGCAGCTGCCGAGTGTTGTCTCTTGTTTCTCTTTGTCATAATTCCTTTGTACCATCTGGAAGAAGGGGGAGGGGGCAGCACAGGGAGGCAGTGCTCCTGTCAATAATTGCTCATTATTTTCAGGATAGTCAGCATTAATGGTTAACGGGATAACCATGTCACAGTACAAGCAGCAGTGCTCTTTGTTCCGCTTGGGAATCTTTTAGAGACAGACAGATAGATGGGAG